CTTTGAGGAGTAAGTTGCAGCCTCTGCTTTGGTCTCTTGGGTTGCTTGATATGGAGGAGGCCAGCAGTCATCTCATATCTCATGAGGACTCTCAAGAAACTCTGTGGAGAGACTCACCAGGGAAGGAGCCAAGGCTTGCACCAATTTGCCAGCCATGTGAGTAAGCCCCGGGAATGAATCTGCTAGCCCATTCAAGCCCTCAAATAACTGTAGTCCTAGCTAACATCTTACTGAACCCCATGAGAACTCCTAGCCTGAGCTGTCCAGCCAAGTAGCTCCCAACTTCCTTACCAATAGAAACTGAGAGATAATAAATATATTTTTGTTAAGCTACTAAGTTTGGGGATAATATGTTATGCAGCAATAGATAATAAAAAATGTATATTGTAGATTCTATAGAACTCTGCCTACATAGGTCAAGAAAGTCTTCAGAAAAAAAAGAGAAACATTTAAAAAAATGACTATTGGTTAAGTCTTCAGCAATGACTAGGAGCTTGCAGGTGGAGCAAGGGGAATCATTTCAGGCTGAAAGAAAAACTTGACCATACGGCCAGAAGTAGGAAGACATGACTTATTTGAAAAACAGCAGTTAGTTTGACATGGCTGGGGTGCATGGTTAAAGAATGAAGTAGAGAGAGATTAGAAGAGCAGACTGGATACAGCTCACAAAGGACCTTCTGTGCCATCTCCTTGTATCTGTTGTTTTATCCTGAAGGCAATGAGGAGCCATTAAAGAATTTTAAAACAAGCAACTGACATAAATCAACAGTAAATTTTAGAAGGATGGTCAAATGGAAAATGGATTGGAGGCAGAAAGATCACTTAGAAACTCTTGCACATTCAGATGAAAAATGATTAAGGCCTTATCAATGTGAACAGGGAAGAACAAATAGACTTGGAGGGTTAAAGGAGATATATTTTTAGAATATGAGAAATAAACAAAAGGGAAGAGGTGAGAACCAGGAGGAGAAGAAAGTTTTTTGGGGTAATGGGGTGAATTTGAATGGTACTTTTAAGTAGATGTGTACAGTGGGCAGGCAACTAAGAAACACTATTCTGGGGCAGGACCAGGAGGAAGTGAGGTCAGATTGAAGGAGACTTAAGGGTTTGTTTGGTTTTTGGTACAGGGGATTGAACTCAGGRGCACTCAACCACTGAACCACATCCCCAGCCCTATTTTGTATTTTATTTAGAGACAGGGTCTCACTGAGTTGCTTAGTGCCTCACCTTTGCTGAAGCTGGCTTTGAACTCTTGATCCTCCTGCCTCAGCCTCCCCAGCTGCTGGGATTATAGGTGTGGGCCAGCATGCCCAGTAAGATTTAACTATTTGAAGGCTTTTTCATGCATGCATGCCTTATTAAAATGTAAATAATTTCATGAGCAAAATAAAATCTAAWTAAAATTTAGAGTTCTAGATTTATCTTGAACTGGTAACAGTAAAGCCACTTAAAAATAAGATTTAAATACGAACTGGGATAAAATTAGGTTAGAACCAAATAGAGGTAGTGAGAGTAACTCGAAAACTACTTTTTAATATCTTTCAATTTTGCTGAGGATTAAACACATCATCCGAACCTGGTGGTTAACTAAATGTAGAGACTGAACTTTAGATATGCTTATTTCATCACCTCTAATTTTTTAGGCTCTATGACCCATTTTTCTATCACCAATTTTWAAAAAAAATAATTAAATTTTGCTTCTGTTTACTTCACCTATTTTCCAGTCAATTTGCATCAGCTTCATAATCTGATACTTCCTCCTGTTTTTTTTTTCTCTTCCTGCTCTTTGTGAACAAAACAAAACAAATCCTTCCCCCTTATTAAATATATAATAGGTGTGGCAGGGATCTTAATTTCCTTTATTGAGTACTGGAGAGGATATCATTGTTCTTGATTTTACTGTCCACAGCCATCTAATTCTTTGAAATTGTTTTCCAAATAACAGAGTGATTTTAACCTCTAAGTATGGTCTAGTACCCAATACTGCAAGACTTGGAGTTCAATCAGTTCACTGGATTTCTACTTWCCCAAGAATTATGTATTCAGAAATAATACCATATGGATAATGTGGTGTGCATAGCATTAGTATTTCAAGGATTAAAGGAAAACTTATTTATAAGTCATAGTTTTATAATGAAGCTTGGAAGGAGAAACACAGCAGTAAATGGGCTAAAATGCCAGACTTTGAACAGAACTTTTGTTTCAAAACTACTTTTACCTCAGTAAAAAAATTACTACCAATAAAATTTGTGCCATCTTATTTGTGGAAATAGCTGTGGTTTTTAAAAAGTAGCCATTTAATCTTTGTCAGTACAAAGAAAAGTGATGTAAAAAATGAGTAAATGAGCCTAGTGTGGTGGTGTAATTCCAGCCACTTGGGAAGACTGAGGCAGGAAGGAGGCTGAGGCAGGAGGATTACAAGTTCAAAGGCAGCCTCAGAAACTTAGTGAGACACTGTCTCAAAACAAAAAAATTAAAAAAGAGCTGGGGCTGTGCTCAGTGGTTAAGAGCCCCTGGGTTCAATCCCTGGGACCAAGGAAAAAAAMAAAACAAAACAGTAAATGGAGCTGTGTTTTTTATCAGAGTGCCTACTGGAAAGAACTCAAGCATAAAGAGACACCACTTAATGTATTTAACTTTTTCAACATTAAAATGATGAAAAAGGAGGCTTAATAAAAATTTTCTAAGGTGTAAAATATCTAATGAATATTTTAAACAGTTTTATAACAGAATTAAAGGTAAAACTGCAAAATCCTAAGTAGAAGACATTTTTTCTAAAACAAAATATTGGTTTTTTTCTGATTACATAATTGACATGTTCATTTTTTAAAAGTCAGTTAATACAGAAAAGCAGGAAATAAATTACATAAACCTATTAGCCACAGATAAACACTTTTAATATTTTGTGAACGTGCGTTTAAATTTGTGAACGTGTGTTTAACTGTTCCTTCATGTTTGTGTATGTATATTTATGCACAGGGTATATCATATGTAGAATCATACTCTACATACACTGATCCTTCCTTCTGCTACACACTATGGACATATTTTCGTACTTATAAATATGGATCTATTCTAGCTTTCTAAATGGGTACATGGCATCATACTCTATATAAATACAATTTAATCAACCTTTCCTACAACATTGAACATTTATCATTCAGATTATTCCCAAGGTGTTTAGTTTTTTCTTGTCATACTGGGGATTGAACCCAGGGGCACTCTACCAATGAGGTATATTCTATTTTATGTGTGTGTGTGTGTGACAAGTTCTCATTAAGTTGCCAAGGCTGTCCTTGAACTTGCAATCCTTCTGCCTCGACCTCCCAAATAGCTGGGATTATAAGCCTTTGCCACCCTGTAACATGTTTCCCAGGCCTCCTTCAGGCATCCTGACCTGAGTTCTGTCCTCTAAGGGAGGCAGACACTTGGAAAACTCTAAATCCCACAATACTTCCCCAGTCTCAGTGCAGTTTTTTCTTGTCTTTATATTAGCAAAGAGTTCTTGGAGAACAAAGGCCTATTAATTCCCTGCTGGGTCAAAGGAAGGGGAGGACTGCAGTGCACTTTCCTTGAGGAGATGGGGAGAAAGGGAATTGCCACTCAATCTTTCCAGATAATCCTGTAACAGAAACTAGACAGTTGCCTTTGAGAAGTTACTTAACCTCCTTAAACTTCAAATTCTTTATCTATAAGATAGCAACAAATAGCAACTCTATTCTTCCAGTTGCGGAGGCTAAAAAACTCAAGTTGTTTTTTGCTCTTCTCATTCTCTTGCCCTCACGCCATCAAATTCTGCCTGTTGAACCTTCAAAATAAATCCAAAATCTGACCACTTCTCCCCAACCTCTACAGCTTTGGCTTTGGGCCAGACCTCCATCATGTCTTATCTGGGACTTTACAGTAGCCCCTAACAGGTCTCCCTAATTATTCTTCTTTTCCTGTGATCGATTTTCAAGACAATAGCCTCTGACTTTTAAAATAGATAATGGCTTTTTCTCTAATTTAGAGAAAAAAGCAAAAAACCTCCCTGTGTGGATGTATCCTTCTCTCCCACTTCTCTATCTAACCATCTTCCTTTCCAGTCATTCTACCCTTGCCAAACATATGCCCCTTGCATTTGCTGTTTTCTGTGCCTTCAGCTGTTCTCAAAGGCTAATGGTGGTCTCCATTCAAGTATTTGTTGAAAATATTACCTTTATCACATCCTTATATTTCTTTTMAAAAATATTTTTTAGTTGTAGATGGACATAATAACTTTATTTAATTAATTAATTTATTTATTCATTCGTGTGATGGTGAGGATCAAACCCAGTGCCTTACACGTTGATGTGTAGGCAAGCGCTCTACCACTGAGCCACAACCCCAGCCCACATCCTCATATTTCTTGATAGCACTTATCATAGTCATATTGTATGTTTAACTTAATTATTTSTTTGTTTTTTGTTTATTAGAGCTGGAATGCCAGGCMGTCGGAGGAAGGGACTTGCCTCTTCAGTTTTCAGTGTTTAGAGTAGTTCTCAGCCACTATCAAGGGCTCAACAAATATTTGTCAAATGAACAAATAGACAATCATAATCCCTATCTTTCATGGTTGAAATGAAAATTCAGTGASGTAACAGTGTCTAGTGAACAGGAAGGACTCTCTACATATAGGTTGTTTTTGTACCATTATTATGGTATTTAAGATAGGCTTTGGAGAACATATTAGAAAAAAGGGTTTTCCAGTCTTTGCACTTGGAGCAGAAACTTAAAAGTGTGACAAAATAGGTTTTTGGTAAGAGAAAGGACTGGAAACATAGCAATAGAACAGATGGTGGAAATTGAATTCAAAGTTCAGAATTCTGAAGTTTGTTCTTAATAGTCAGGAACTATGGGCTGGGGATGTGGCTCAAACAGTAGCGCGCTCGCCTGGCATGCATGCGGCCCAGGTTTGATCCTCAGCACCATACAAACAAAGATGTTGTGTCTGCCGAAAACTAAAAAAAAAATATTAAAAAAACAAAAAATAAAAAATAAAAAAACCCAGTCAGGAACTAGTCAGGATTTTCAGCAGAGGAAGATATGATAAGATCTTGACCTGGGGGATCTTTGTGGGGATTAYTACTTGTGTTTAAAAGTTACATTTTCTAGGGTGGGGAGTGGATTTGTTAACTAAAGAAAATAGTGAGTTACTTTAAGAAACTTTGAAAGACATTTTCCACATACAGGCTGATAGGACCTGGCCTATGTATATGATCCTCTCTTTTCAGGTAGGCCTCAAACATGTTCCACGGTGGGAGAGCAAAATGAGTGTGGGAAAGACTGAAAATCTTGGTGATCTATTTTTAACCAATCTGGGTTGAATGGGGTTCTAACTYAGCCATTTCTCCTTTCATGATTCAAAATTGCTTAACCTTTGGATTAAGTCTATTTCAGACCCTGGCTATACTTCATGTCTTGGTTTTCCATTTCACATGCAATTTCTGATTATATCTCTCTTTTAATATACCTCACTTTTAGTCTAAAGTCCTGCTTATCTAGGTGCCAAGTCCAGTAGCATTAGCGTCACTTGAGAGCTTATTAGAAATACAGAATTCTCAGAATTCAGCCAGTTCCACTGAATTAGAATCTACATTTTAATAAGATCCCTGGTGATTTATGTGTACCTTAAAACTTAAGAAGAACTGCATTTGAGCATCCCTTAACCAATGGCTGTCCCAGTCTCCCTCAGGAGCCCCTCAGTAACTCAAATAAACATACAACAATTTTCTGGACAAGTCACCTAGCCACCTTCTCCAACTAGAGAGCTTTCCACTTTCTACCTTGTGTGTAGAAAATATAAAGGAATGACTGCTCTAAAGGTACAATGTTTCTCAAGGTAGAATCCTTAGATCACTTCCATTTGAATAATCTAGAGGGTTTGTTAAAAATGCAGATTCCTAGCCCCCACCTTGCATCTATTGAATGTGATTCTCTTAAAGGACCCTACAAGCCATTTTTTTCAATTAATATTTGATATATACTAATCTTCAAAGTAATCTTGGTTACAGCAACAGAAAACTGACTATACCATGTTGGAACATGTGACCCAAATTTGACCAGTCAGCTCTCAGAATTCCTGTTACCACAGTGTTTATGGTGACAGGCTCAATTTGAAAGATGGAATTCCAGGAGTTTCTTGAAAATTTCCATGAGGAAGTGCTCTTTATTTTTCCATTGGATTTGAATCTGGATGTTTATGAAGTTGAAGCTGTTGGGTGGGGGAGAAGAAAAGAGGAATCACATAGTGCTTCTCTGAGAATAAAACAACTTAGTGAGAGGAAGAACCCAGAAACAGCATCCCAATAGTAGGGGAAGGGAATATARCTCAGTTATAGAGTGCTTACCTGGTATGTGCAAGGTCCTAGGTTCAATCCTCAATGACAACAACAACAAAAAAAGAAGAAATAAGAAAAATCTTGATGACATTGTTGGAGACTTTGGATAGTGCTGTAATAAAGGAAGATATTCTCTGAACTTTTAAGATATATGAATCATTGTTACCTCTTATTGTTTAATATATTCAGAGTTGAGTTTTCTGTCCCTTGAAACCCAAAGAGTCCTAATTGATACATACTTAAATCCTAAATTGTATGGTATCTACTCTAAATGTTTTGGTTGAGTGGGATTAACTAAATATAGTCAAGGAAAGGCCAGTCAGGGAAAGCTTTTATGAGTAAAATGGGTCTTGAATGAATTGGAAAGAGACAAGGAGAGAGAAAATTGGGGGTGAGGGGGGGAGTACATAACTAAAACCTTGGGGGTAGGAATGAGCACATTTTGTCAGTGGGGCCCTGGGGAGAGGAGGATAAGTGCCAGGGAGGACAAAGATGGGAAGTTAAGCTAAATAGGATGAGATTAGGTTTKGGGAGAGTCTTGAAACTGGGGTAAAGGAATTTGATGTGCCCAAAATAGGAACAGATTGATAAGACAAGGAAGATTAGATCATGTTGAGAGTGGTTAAGGATGGAAGAACCTGATTAGAAAGACTGACTTTCTAAATTGATACATTAATACAGATCATAAGACATACAACAGTGGGGCCAGCAACGGTAAAGAAGAGATGGAAGGGATAGAAATGAGAGCAGTGTAAGTYGGGGAAACATAGGTTTATGTGGTTATGGATAATGAAAGCAAGTTACACATAGCTGACCTCACCCTTTGAAGATAATAAGCAGGCAGGTAAATACTTAGTACAATTAATCAAAGTTAACACACTGGAAGAGGTGGGGACTTGGATAGAAAAAAAATTTCCCATCACCATTTCAGATGGGGATTCCCATTCTATTTCTGAGTTGTATTTCTACAACAAAGATAATAGTTTGGAAATATTTAGCTGTTTGTTTCTCTTGATCTTAATTGCTACCATTATAGTCCAAGCCATCATTTTCTCTCACCTGAATTAAAATTGCCTATTAAATTATCTTCCCATTTTATTGAAATCTCCTCCCCYTCCATATCAGGGGTCCCCAAGACCAAGCACAGTTTTAGTGATTTGCAAGGAAGACTCAGGGCTCGGAATATAATCATGCAGCTATGATTTATGATAGCAAAATGATCCAAAGCAAAATCAACAAAAAGAAAAGACATGTAGGGCAAAGTCCAGAGGAAATCAGGCCCAAACTTCCAAGGGTCCTCTCCCACTGGAGTCAACATTGCATTGTGACAACATTAAGTGAAATGTTGCTAACTATGGAAGCTTATGAATGATTCTGCCCCCAGGAATTTTATTGGAAGCTAGTCTCTTAATCACTGCCTGGCATGTGCCAAAATTCCAGATTCCTCAAAGGAAAGCAGATGGTTCTGAATTGCTATGACTTGAATGTTTTTGTCCTCCCAAAATTCATGTGTTGAAAGCCTAACTCACAAGGCGGTGGTATTGGGAGGTGTGGCCTTTGTGAGGTGATTAAGGTCTTAGCAGCAGAGTCCTCATGAATGGGATTTGTGTCCTTATTAAACAGGCAAGAGACTCCTCATCCTTCCCACCATGCAAGGACACAGCAAGAAGGTGCCATCTATGAGCAACAGAGCCAGACCCCTAATTGATAAAGAATCTGCCAATGCTTTGGTCTTCGACTTCCCAGCCTCAAAAATTGTGAGAAACTTTTGTTGCTTATAAGCCTCTTAATTTATGATATTTTCTTATACAGCCCACAAAGACTAATAAGATTATCATAAGGTACATTGTACAATTTACATACAATGAGTCATTCTTATCAGTTGGGTGATAGGAACCCTCCCCAAATCTAAGTTCCAGCCAAGGACCAACAATTAAGCTGGGCTTTCAAAGGATAATAATCAAGCCTGCTATGTTAACTCTCTTCTTCCAAYCTATTCTTCTGTCAATTGCTAGCAGGAATCTTCTTAAAATATAAATCAGAGTATGTACATYATATACTTAGACTAAAATTCAAATTCTTTCCCATGGTGCACAAGTCCCCATTTAGCATCAAAACAGCATTCCTCTCTAACTCTTGCCACTGTCCTCAGCATTACCCTCAAGCTAAACTGGCCTCTAAGTTTCTAGAACATCACCACCAGATAGAATGTTCCATGATGATGAGAATGTTCTTTTATACTGTTCAGGTGTCCATTGGTGCCCACCAATCACATGTACCYATTGAGCATGTAAAATGTGAGGAACTGACTTTCTAATTTTATTTTAAATTTAAATAGCCACATATGATTAGTGGCTATCATATTGAGCAGGGCAATTCTAGAAGACATCAAAATTGTCCCATTTTAAGACCTTTCTTTGTGTATGTAGGAAATTAATGCAATGGTAGACTTCAATTATATTATCAGACAAGGTATCCCAAATATTGAAGAACAGGAGGGCTAACAGACTAAATTAAAATGCTTGAACCACACACACAGTTTATTAAATCAACTTAAAATACAGTGTAAAGCAAGGGGGAAAGAAATGGTATAATTTCAAATATTATGATGAAAGTATAAGAGGAAGGTGGAAATATTAGAATTTCTGTGTTGCATCAGTCTTCTCAGCTGATGGGCCAGAGTGAGGTTCAAAGAAAGGGGTCACAGTGAGAAGTTTGCCTGGGGTCATGTATGGACATTTGTTCTACCAGAAGGACTCAGGAGAGACAAGTACACACGACTTCTAGGTCAACTCACAAATGGACGTGTTGAACAAAACATGGCTTTTGTTTGTTTTTGTGGTGCTRGTTGAACACAGGGCCTCACACATGCTAGAAAAGCACTAAACTAYTGAACTACATAACCAACTCTACAAATATGGGTTTTATTTAGGCCATAAGTTTACATTTTTGGTCAGAAGACACATGAACCAGAATAGTTATTACCAATGAATGGTTAAAACCTTATAAATAGGGGCTGGGGCTTGGGCTCAGGGTAGCGCACTTGCTTGGCAWGTGTAAGGCACTGGGTTTGGTTCTCAGCACCACATATAAATAAATAAAAATAAAGGACCATCAACAACTAAAAAAAATGTTTAACCTTATGAATATTAAACACTCACATATAGTCAGTCTATCCTGGACATTGTCTGGTATACGTTTAATTTGTTATGAATACTTAGTGCCTAGGTGTTTTGTGTATATTATGCCTCATTAATATTAATTACATTAATATTAATCCTTTTATTTCCATCTACATTTAACATACACATGCTCCACCCACTAATTACTTAATACATTTGAATTTCATCTATCTACCTTATTTTTTAAATTTTCACCTGTAGCATAACTTACTATTCTCAAACAGTATAACAAATGCACTTTACACCTCTACACATATTTCTTCTCTGTAAAGTGACCTTTTTCTGGCTCATCCCATAATAAGCTCCTATAGATTCTTTAGGTCTCAATGAAAATGTCCCTTCTTCTGAGAGGCCCTCCCTGTGAGTTATAGATTAAATTTAATCCTCATCAAGTTCTTATGTTGAAGCCCTAACCCCCAATGTGATTGTATTTTGTAATAAGGCCTCCCCAATTCAATAGAATTGATGACCTTATAAGAAAAGGACAAGACATCAGACCTCTCTCAGTCTGTCTATCTGTATCTCTGTCTCTCCACACTTAAGACATTTCATGAGAAAATATAGCAAGAAATCAGCTGTCTACAAACCAGGAAGAAAGGCTTTACCAGAAAGCTAACTGATCTTGACCTTCTAACCTCTAGAATGATGAGAAAATAAGTTTTTGTCATTTAAACCACCCAGTCAGTGATCTATTGTTATGGCAGCCTCCATGTTGCTTTTACTTACATTATTTCTGAAACCAAAAATGTGGKTTTTTTCCCTCACACTAACCAATTCTTGAACTCTTCATATACCAACAGGTTATCAAATAATTCAATTGACTTCTGACCCAATCTGTCTAGATTCAGCAGCATAKTCTACGAATTAAAGACTCAAACCTCAAAACTGCTCTCCCATTTCTGATGCCAGCTCAAGTCCTGATTGCCATCTATACTTCTGATCAACCAGCTATAACTTAGGTGTTCCCATTATTTCCTCTTCAGGTTTGATAATTTGCTAGAATGGTTCATTGTAATCAGAGAAACATATTATTTGCTATTATGAAGTCTATTACAAAGACTATGACTCAGGAATAGCCAAGTGGAAGAAATGGATAAGGTAAACAGCCATAGAAGTGGGGAGTGGAGCTTCTATGCCCTCTCTAAGCACTGACATGTTCACTAACCTGGAAGATCTCTGAATCCTGTCCTCTYGGAGTTTTATGGAGGTTTCAAAATTCAAGGTGGAATCATACTAGGCAAGTGTTCTACCACAGCACCAATATATTAAATTTTTTGAGGAACCTCCATACTATTTTCTATAGCAGTGGCACCATTTTATATTACAACCAACAATGCATAAGTGTTCAATTTCTCCACATCCTTGTTGAAATTGGTTCTTCCTTGCTCTTGCCATTCCTCCCTTACTTGCTCCTGCCTTGTTTCTCTCTCTTCTTTTTTTGGGGGGTGAGGGGATATCCAGGATTCAGCTCAGGGGCACTCAACCACTGAGCCACATCCCCAGCCCTATTTGTGTGTGTGTGTGTGTGTGTGTGTGTGTGTGTGTATTTTATTTAGAGACAGGGTCTCAATGAGTTGTTTAGCATCTCACTTTTGCTGAGGCTGGCTTTGAACTTGTAATCCTCCTGCTTTGGCTTCCTGAGCTGCTGGGATTACAGGTGTCCATCACTGCACTGCACCTCGCCTTCCTTCTCTCTTTCTTAATGATAGCTACCCTAATAGATTTGAAATTGTATGTAATCATGGCTTTGATTTGCAATCTCTAATGATTAGTGATTTTGAGCATCTTTTCATGTGCTGATTTGACTATCTGTTTATTCTCTTTGAATAAATTCAAGTCCTTTTTCTGTTTTTGAATTGGGTTGTTTTTATGTTGTAGAAATTCTTTATATATTCTAGCTATTATTACCTTATCAGATAAATGTTGGCTAATATTGCCTCCCATTCTGTGAGTTGCTTTTTCACTCTATTGGAGGTATCCTTTGATACACAAAAATTTAATTTTGATTAAGTCCAGTTTTATTGATTTTTTTTCCTTTGCTGTCTGTGCCTTTGGTGTATATCTAAGAAATTATTGCCACATACAATGCCATAAAGTTTTATTCAGTGTTTTCTCCTAAGAGCTTTGTAGTTTTGATTTTAATGCTTAGATCTTTGACCCATTTTGAATTATAAATTGAATATGATGTCAGATATTGATGTTGTAAGGATGCAACTTCATTGTTTTCCATGTTGATATTCAGTTTTCCAGAATTATTTGTTGAAATGTCTGTYCTTTCTCCATTAACTGGTCTTGTCACTCATATTAAAAATGATTTGAAAAAAATCATTTGAACATGTATGCAATGGTTTATTTCTGGACTCTCTGTCTTTATGCCACTCCTGCACTGTTTTGATTATTGTAGCTTTGTAGTAAGTTTTAAAATCAGGGAGTATGAGTCTTCCAACTTCATTATTGAAACTAAATTTTTAATCCACCATCTTTTAAAAATTTGTTCTTTTTAGATAGACATGACAGTAGAGAGTATTTTGATATATTATACATATGTGGAGTATAACTTCCTATTCTCGTGATTGTACATGATGTGGRATTACACTGGTTGTGTATTTGTATATAAACACAGGAAAGTTATGTCTGATTCATTCTACTGTCTTTCCAATTCCTGTTCCCTCTTCCTTCTCTTCTTCCTCCTTTGTCTAATCCAATGAAATTCTATTCTTCCCTCCCAACCCCCTTATTGGGTATTAGCATCTGCATATTAGAGAGAATGTTTGGCCTTGGGTTTTTTGGGATTGCCTTATATCAGCATGATAGTCTCAAGTTCCATTCATTTACTGGCAAATGCCATACTTTCATTCTTCTTTATGGCTGAGTAATATTCCACTGTGTATACACCACATTTTCTGTATCCATTCATCAGCTGAAGGGCACCTAGGCTAGTTCCATTGCTTAGCTATTGTGAATTGATCTGCTATAAACATTGATGTGGCTGTGTCACTATAGTGTGATGTTAATCCACTATCTTAAATCATTCATAGGAGTTGTCATCTCAGTGACAATGTAAAAATACCTGTTCATATCTGTTATTTATAATGAGAACTAATCCTCTTTGTAAATTCTTAACAGGACAGTGTCCAGGAACAGCAGTCTTAGGTTGGCATCCTTGTATTTCCTTTATTCTTCCTAGACAAAGCTCTTACTCACGATTGAATTAGAATTTGTAGTATCCTAGTCTTCTGTTCAGGCTGTCACTGCTGTACTGGGAAATCCGCCAAAGAAGACTTCCTGGATTCAGTTTCATTTAGGTAATTCTCTTACTTTGTACAGATTCTATTAGTTTTCCTAGACTAGAGAAAAGAATAAACATATTCAAAACAAGTTGCTTGGGATTTTTCCCAGGCAAGGTTAGATTAATAAAAAACAAAAATCAATGAGGGAAAAACCATGACAGAAAGCTGAAGCCAGACTCTGGTAACTGAAGAGGAGCCTTGATTGTTTTAAATGATAAAAGGAGAATCAAGGATATTTTTGTGTGACCTTTGAGATTCTCTTTCCATTATAGGTTGTGCTGAAGAAAAATCATAGTTTGAGATACTTCTTCGTATTTTGCTTTTCTCCTAACAGAGACAGAGTGAGACAGTGAAGAAGAATGTTGGGTTATGTCTAAGAGGTATGTCTGAAAGCATTTTGTACTGACTTTATATGAGAACTAAGGCATTGGTTTGCTAAGCTACAAATTCCTTTACCATGTGTTGAGACAATCAATACATCTCCAAAAACTCTAATAGCTTGTGGGGAGCCAGTCTGAATGATTTGCATTCTCTTTCCCTGAATGGAGAGGCTTCTGATTGTCATTACATCTTGTAGTGACCTGGACATTGCCCCAGTCTCGGAGACTGAGGACGCCTCTTCAGATGTAGGCATGTCGCCCCATGGATTGAGCTACACTCACCTGTTCCTTTGTGATATTACCCCTTTGCCCTGTTTGGGATAGAATGTTCCATGGAAACGCCCTTTGTGTATCTCTTTCTCTTGCTCTGCCTTTGGGTGTGGCTTTCCTAGATGTCAGTSAACCTGCTGGCAGCAGACATCAGGAAGCTAGACTCAACCTCCTGAAGCCTGACCCCATGCCTCATTTGAATGGCTTCTCCTCAATAAAAGGATTTAGCATGTGTGCTCTCTCTCTCTTTCTGTGGACCTTTATGGTCAGAGGAGCCATCACAGGAACCCAAAGAAAAAGGTATCTCTGTCTCTTGTGTGGTTATTTCGTGCAGCCCAGTTCCCCYGGAGTGACCCTGAGTGTTTTAGTCGTGAGAAATGTGATAATAGCTCTAATAATATAAGATTTTTAACGTTTTCTAAATATTATTTCTTTAATTCCCTAATTCTCAGAGAATTGTGTAAAACCCATTTATATACATAGGTTTCTTTTTTATCTGCCCTGCTAAATTAAATTATAAGGTCCTAGAAATATGCTSTCTCTCTCTATGTGTGTATGTGTGTGTGTATCTTATATTGTGTGCCTATATGAATACGTAACAATGAATCCCACTATTACATATGATTATAATGCAGCAATAAAAATATAGAAAAAAGGAAAACATATCTTATTCAGCTTATTCCTCACAGTTCACTTTATCTTTCTTTTTTATTTTTCCTTTTTTAGCAGTGCTGGGGATTTAACCCAGGGAATTCTACCACTGAACTACATCCCCAGCTATTTTAAGACACAGTCTCACTAAGGAAGAAAGAAAAAAAAAAGAATCTCACTAAGTTGCAGAGGCTGTCTTTGAACTTGAGATCCTCCTGCCACAGCCTCCCAAGTAGTTGGGATTACAGGCATGAGCCACTATGCCTGGCTAGCACTATATCTTTCATAAGTTAAATAAATATTTGAATGAAGAGAGAATGAATTCAATTATCTATTTTTGTTTTGAAGATTATTTTTCAAGGAGACTTGTTTCTTTCCTTGTGAGATAAATATTCTTTAGCTCAATGATAATGATTGCATTATGGCTCTAAGAAGTCCCATTGCCTTCCTGCATTTTGCCCCATCTCTATCCCCTTTAGTTAAAGAATGGCTGATGGGGCTGGGGATGTGGCTCAAGCGGTAGTGCGCTTGCCTGGCATGCATGTGGCCCAGGTTCGATCCTTAGCACCACATACAAAAAAAGATGTTGTGTCTGCCAAGAACTAAAAAAATATATATATATAATAAATATTAAAAAATTCTCTCTTTCTCTCTAAAAAAAAAGAATGGCTGATTAGGTCTGGGTTTCATATGTACTAATCTCCTTATCAAATGACTGTTCAGCCACATTCAGTGTTCTCTTCAAAATAAGCTTTTTCTTTTTTTAAAATTATGAATAGGCTGAGAAGTTTTTCCAAATCTTTAAGTTCTGGTTCCTTCTTGCTTAACACTTYCGCTTTCTTTTTTTTAAATATATTTTTTAGTTGTAGTTGGACACAATACCTTTATTTTATTTATTTAATTTTATGTGGTGCTGAAGATCAAACCCAGCGCCTCGCACACCTAGGTGAGTGCTCTACCGCTGAGCCACAACCCCAGCCCTAACAATTCCTCTTTTAATTGATTTTTTTCCTTCATGCTTTTTACTATAAACAGTGAAGAAGCACTAAGGCACTGCTTCAACACTTTGCTTACAATCTCCAGTTAAATATTCAGTTAGATATTTAGCTCTTTTCTAAGATCTCACCAAAACTATCATCCTTAATACCTATATTTCTAGTATGCACCTCAAAATTCCCCCTGTCCCTACCCATTATTCAATTCCAAAGTTGCTTCTACATTCTTAGATATTGTTACAGTAGCACCTTACTCTCAGATTCAAATCTATATTAGTCTGGGTTCCCCAGAGAAACAGAACTACTAATAATATACATATGCAAACCCATATAAAATAAGGAATCAGCTCACACAGTTATTGAGGCTGGTCTATAGTTGGTAAACTGGAGACCGAGCAAAGCCTAAGATAAGAGTTCTACTCAAAGTCCAAAGGCCTGAGAACTGATGGTACAAGTTCCAGACCAAGGCTGATGATCAATGTCCAAGCTCAAAGGCAGTCAGGCAGAGAGCAAATTCTCCCTTACTCAGCATTTTTTTTTTTTTTTCCCTGTTCAGGCCCACTCACACTGGGGAGGGGAATCTGCTTTATTCAGTGTACTTATTTTCTAATGTTAATCTCATCCAAAATGCCTTGTAGACACACCCAGAAAAATGTTTAACCAAATATCTGTGCACTTCATGGTCCAGCCAAATTGATACATAAAATTAATTATCATAGTGGACTAGCAGTTTCTTTCTTTTTAAAATATTTTATTTTTTAGTTGTAGTTGGACACAATACCTTTTTTTTTTTTACTTATTTATTTTTTTTATGTGGTGCTGAGGATCGAACTCAGGGTCTCTCACGTGCGAGGTGAGCGCTCTACCACTGAGCCACTACCCCAGCTCTGGACTAGCAGTTTCTATCACAAGAAATATTGGTGAAAACATTAAATTTTATTTTCCTTCTGTTTTAGCTGAGAGTTTTTTCTTGTTATAAAAAATTGTTTAATTTCAAAGATGTTACACAGATAAAGTAAATGAAATGTTTAATTCCAAGAAAAAAATTCCCTTTATACCAGGACTTTTTTTTTCCTACTCCAGTGGCTTTTTAAATTTTTTGCATATAGTCTATAAAAACAGTACCATTTCTTATATTTTGTTTGTAACCTACTATTTTCAACTTAAAATACATGCTTTGATGGTGGATGCCTGTAATCCCAGCTATTCAGGAGGTCAAGGCAGGAAAATCACAAGTTTGAGGCTAGTCTCCATTATTTAGCAAGACCTTCTCTCAAAAAATAAGGGGCTAGAGGTACAGTTTACTAGTAGAGTTCTTACCCAGAATGTGTGAAGCCCTGGGTTGAATCCCCAGCACTCTGGAAAAAGAAAAAAGACATAAAAATAAAAAAGAGAGATGAGGATGTAGCTCAGTGGTGGAACACTGGGTTCAATCCCCATCACCTTAAATAAACACAAATACTTACACACACACACACACACACACACACACACACTGCAAACACACATATATATAATTTGAACACTTTCTAAAATATTAATCTGTGACATTTTTATTCACTGCATAATAGTCTTTTAAATGGATATATATTTTTCAATCAATGTCCTTTTACCAAACATTTATTTATTTATTTAATTTTTGGTCCTGGGGATTGAAAGAAGGGGCCCTAAGGAACATTTCTAGTCCACTTTTTATTTTGAAACAGTGTCTCACTAAGTTGCTGAGGTCTTCTAAATTGCTGAGGCTGGCTTTGAACTTGTGATCCTCTTGCCTCAGCCTCCTGAGACACTAGGATTATAGGGGTACACCATCATACTCAGTCCTCATTGTTGAATAAATAGGTGGTTTCCAATTCTTCAGTATTATAAACAACTCTTTTTTTAAAATATTTTTTTAGTTGTAGGTGGACACAATACCTTTATTTTATTTGTTTATTTTCATGTGGTGCCGGGGATCAAACCCAGTGCCTCATGCATGCTAGGCAAGYATTCTACCACTAAACCACAACCCCAGCCCTATAAACAACTCTTTTATACTCTTAATATTTCTTTTTTTCTTTACACATTTTTTATTGGTACATTAATTTAGTATCTCTTAATGTTTTAATTATGAAAGCAATATAGGCCCTCTCTAACTAAAATAATATGGAAGTTGGTAACATAAAAAGCAAAATTCCCTATTTTATTCACCTGTACTTGTATTTTCCAACACTTCTATTCTCCATGAGGCAAATAATACAACTACTTCTAATGGTTTACTGTGTATCTTTCTGACTCTTTTTGCTTCCTGCTTTTTTTCTTTTACATTTATTCTATAACCTGTAAACCTTTTGTTTTGTTTTTCATTCTCAGCCTCAAGTAGCCTCTTTGCTCTTCTGCTTAGTTTGGGATATCAGACAAACATATTTGTTAGAATTATATGTAAAATTCAGACAAAAAAATATATGAGAGAATGCCTCACATTTCTCTAGTTAAAAAGCATGAAGTTTACTGATTATCTTTTCTGCTTTGAATTTCAGCTGCTATTAGGTCTGTGAAATCTACTTCCTGGTACTGTGTCAGACAGTTGGAAAAGTAACATTCAAATAAGTAAAGTGTTAATATATTTACTTTTCATAAGCTAAGAGGGTGCACTACATTTAAGAAAATCTAAAGCTAGTTGTGGTAATGCACATGAGGCAGAAGTAGGAGCATCACAAGTTGGAGACTAGACTTGGGAACTTAGTGAGACCTTAGTGAAACAGGACTGGGGATGTGGCTCAGAGGTACATCACCCCTAGATTAAATCCTCAGTACCACACACACATACAAAAAGATTTTATATTAACTTTTCATATGTTTACACAACTGACCATGAAGGGAAATTCTGTAGAACAAGAGAACAGTGATATATGTAATATATATGAGATGTGTATGTATATTTGTGTGTGTGTGTGTGTGTGTGTGTGTACTTTTTCACTCCCAGTAGGTACTAAAGTACCTGCCATGTGCGAGGTACTGTATACATATTTAAAATGTAAAGATGAAAAAATACAAAGCTCTTCCAATTTTTTAAAGATTTCATGAACACTGTTTAGGAAGCACCTAATAGTTTTATAATCTTTGGTTCAGTCTTACCTTCAAAATCTGCATTAGAACATTTTGTCTTTCAGAGATAACACAATACTGGCCTTTGTRTATTTCTCTACATATTTTCTTGCCACTGCACTGTAGTTATGTCCCAGGAGCCTTGGCCACATTTGGCTCAGAAGCAAGAGGGAAATCCCCTTGTTGTCCAACCAGATGGATACCTAAGGCATTTATTCTCCCTGCAGGTCCTTTTGGTAAAACCAAGCCCAGAAATCTGACATTGCAATTCCTTCCTCCCTCCCCACATTCCTACCCTTTCTCTCCTATGAAAATTACTGAAATGCCAGGAGTTTGGTTAGGGGTGATAGAGAAGTCAGGAATGTTTTTAATCCTGTGTTCAGTGTTCTTGGTAATATTAGAAGAGCAGTAGAGCCATGAATCCAGTCATGCTCTTGGCTAAAGCAGCCTACCCTGACTTTAGTGCTCCTCACATGAAAAAAAAAAAAAAAGACTTAGTGCTTTAGCTGATGATAAACACAACCTAAGCCAAAATGTGACCTAACTGCCAAAACAAGCAAATGTGATCTGATCTGAATTGCCATTAATAGAAGGTTAGTGGCGGGGACAAGCAAAGTAATAGTCCCATGTTACATTCTTCAGTGGCCAGGGTCATACCTGGAGGATGGTATTTCCTCTATATTTTAACAGCCATGCAAAAGAAGTTGGAGTATGCCCAAGCTGGGCAATAGGATGATGAATGCCCTAGAAACTACATCCTTTGAGGAACAGTTGGAGGATCTGTGGTAGTTTACCCTGGAAACTAGAAGACATGGTGGTATGGGATAACTATTTTGGAACATTCACAGAACTATCATGTAGAAGAGTTGGACTGTTCTGTGTAATCTCAGCAAGCCCAACTTAGACTGATGGGTGTACATTACAAAGTGTCTGATCTCTTTTCTCCATAAAAGGAAGAAATTTCTAGACCTTATGAACATTTGAAAACAGCAGCTCCGAAAGGCAGTGACTTAACTTTAACTTGGGGGTGTAAGAAAAGAGGTTGACTGAACATCAGAAGATGAAAGGATAGGATAGGAAGTTTGAAGAGATGATCTGATCCAAGATCCTTCCAGAGTCAAAGATTCTAATGACAAAAACTTAAGAAGGTGTTACTTTTTTTTCCTCCAAGGTTCCATACAAGTATTAACCTTAGAAACTGTTAAAATAGACTCTAAGGATTCTGTATATGAAGGTTTAAGTAATAAAATGTGCATGTTTTCCAAAACAGACTGAAGATTTTTCTTCCATTAAAAAACTCTTAGGCTGAGGTTGTGGCTCAGCGATAGAGTGCTCGCCTAGCGTGCATGAGGCCTTGGGTTCGATCCTCAACATCACGTAAAAATAAATAAACAAACAAAATAAAGGTATTGTGTCTAACCAAAAAATAAATATAAAAAAACTCTCTATATTCTTGGTGTGCTTGATTTCTCATAAAATGTCTGATCCTCTTAATATGTTGTTTTTTAAAAATAAATATATTTTTATTTCATTTATTTATTTTTTATGTGGTGCTGAGGATCGAACCCAGGGCCYTACCCATGCCAGGCAAGCACTGTACCACTGAGCTACAGCCCCAGCTCCTTAATATGTTGTTTCAAGGGTATGATATTGTGATAAGATTAACTTTTTTTTAAATAATTTTTTTAAAGATGGGCACATATCTTTATTTATTTATTTTTATGTGGTGCTGAGGATTGAACCCAGTGCCTTATGTGTGCTCTATTGATAAGCTATGACCCCAGCCCTGATAAGATTACCTTTAGCCCAATATTATAAAGCAGCATTTCAGAGAATGGCAGTTTGTGGTCAAATGTCAAAGAACTAGCCCTGTGGAGCAACTGGTCTTTGGAGGTCATTAATCATTAATAATGAAATAGCATCCAGTAAAATGTGTGTGTTAGGATATCTTGACTCTCCCCAACAGTTAATGAAGTAATGGTCATTCTCATTTACCAATGCACAAACTGGGGCCCAGAGCTTCTTGCCCACCATGATYGTGCATGGGGCTGGCACTAGTATCCAGACTGACTTTTTGTCCAATCCTCTTTCTTATATTGATTGTTTTCTTCTATATAGTATGTTTAGAACCTTTCATGAAGGCAGAATATAATTTTCCTCTCTTTTTTTTTAAGAATATTTTTTTTAGTTGTAGTTGAACACAATACCTTTATTTATTTATTTTTATGTGGTGCTGAGGATCGAACCCAGGGCCTCACACATTCGAGGCAAGCGCTCTACCACTGAGMTACAACCCCAGTCTACATTTTCCTCTCTTAATGATAGTGGTTCTGTGGCAGGTTGACTTGATCAAAGACTTGGCCTCTAACTTAAATGGTGTCTTTAAGTTCATCTTTTATCCTAAAGAAAGTTTCTAGCAGACACCAATACTGATGTCTGAGAACACTTGACCATCTCTTTAAAAATAAAGATTCCAACACTTACTCCAAATAAAAATTACAAGGATGTGGAGAGGGTAGTGTTTGTCCAGTGGAGTAGATTTAACTGGGTAGTACAGCAAAAATACTTATGAGATCAGAATGAGTCAGAAAACCTGGGTTTAAGTTTGTTTTATTACTTTGCTGCCTATTAATGTGACATGTTCTTCACGTGGGGCTTCAATTTCCTAATAGTTATATAGGAATAACAATAGGACTTTTGGGGTAGTTGGGAATATTAGATATGATAATAAGTATGAGAGTATAAACATTTTGCTGTTTAAAAATATGTTTATTGTATATTCTCATCAATTGTTTTCTACCCATTTTTCTCTTGGGGTATTATTGTATTTTCTCTTTACTTTCACTCCTGTTTATTGCCAGCATAGTAGGTGCTGTAGCAATAATCAGTAATAATTCAACAGAACAAGTGCCTCTGGGTGCAGCCTAGTGCTGATCTCAGAAAATACAAAGAAGCCTGAGACCAGCCCTTGTCCCAGTGTGCAGACAGCATGCTGTCCACAAATTGCTGTGAAAGTCAACCTGTAGACCAACCAAGGTGGGAGAGGCGTCAGTAGAGAGGGAACAGCTGAGGGAAGGTACAGCTCAAGCAGTCACTGGAGTTGTCATACTTGTTGGGCCAGTAATGTAACCTCTCAAAACCTGAATTTCCTTATCTTTAAAGAGAAATAAATAATGCCTAACGATGATATGAGGATTCAAAAGTAATATGTGGCTAGGTGCAGTGGCTCACGTCTATAACCTCAGTTACTGGGGAGGCTAATGTGGGAGGATCCTATATATAAAATATAAAAAATAAGGGGCTGGGTTTATAGCTTAGTGGTAGGGAGCTTGCCTAGTATGTGTGAGGCACATATAAATAAAATAAAATAAAGGTCCATTGACGACTAAAAAAAATTACAAAAAATAAAATAAAAAGGGCTGGAGATGTAGTTTAGTGTTAGAGCGCCAGTGGGGCCAGTCCTCAGTGTGGAGGGGTATAAATAATATGTGTAAATATTTGTACTTGAACCGAGCACATCAAATGGCACAGGGTAAGGGTTTAATAATGTTTGCCATTGTTAATGCCGTTTAAATAATTTAATACTACCTTACTGCGATGGTCAATGCTGTGATTCCAAGAATAAGTCATTGCCTGGTCGTTGGACGGAGAACAAGAGTGGCAAAGATTCATACGCCACGGTTTCAGTCTTCAGGAGCTTTAAGACGAGGCCAGCTTCACAGAATGAGACCCGCAGCATCGTGACGTCTCTAAGTCCGCGCGTTGGCTCTGGGAGACCCAAGCCGAACCGGGCTCCCAGGGTCACGTGGCCTGAGGCCCCGCCCCTACCAAGCGGGTTCCCGGCGGCTGCAGTAGCGGCTGCTGCGCGTGCGCCGAGCCGCGCGCTCTGCGGCGCGGTCCACGGTGGAGGCGGCGCAAACAGCAAAGGGGCGGCCGATGGCTCTGCGGGGCCCAGCTGGCTTGGGGCCCGGCTCCTGCGGGCCGTTGGACGAGGCTGTGGCGGCGGCCGAGGGGCGCGAGGCGTCGGCCCTTGTGGCGACGGGAGCTACKCTGGAGGACGATGAAGAGGACGATGGCCGCGGCCGGGGCCTGCTGCGCTGGGACGGTTTCTCGGCATGGCTGCACTGCGTGTGTGTGGTGGGCTTCGACCTGGAGCTGGGCCAGGCGGTGGAGGTGAGGCCCGGCCGCACCCTGTTTCCACGCTTCGCCCCCGCGCGGGCGCGTCTGGCTCCAGCAGAGCCTGTGGCCCGCGGGCCGGCCCGCCAAGACCCCAGCTGCCGCTCATCCGGGCGTGGCCCGCAGCTCCTCCGCGGGTTGGGCCTGGCTGCGGTCCGTCTGCCGTTCTCTTGGGAGGATCTTGGGCTGTGGCTAGGGTTGAAACGTGAGCTATAGGCCCCTCCTAAATGCTTGTCTTATTAAAAAAAAAAAAAAAAAAAAAGTCACAGGAATAACTGAAAGGGTTAGCAGCACCTAGAGAAGGCAGCAGGCAGGATGTTTGAGACTTGCATGAGAAAGAAACAATATTTTGACGTATGGTGAACTGTAATAGCTGAAATTGAAAAAGTTTTTAGGCATTTTGTTCGGTTCCTTCTTTTTATTACTCATTTCTGTTATTTCTTAATACTGTTTCTGGAGTAGTTGGCCTGAGGACTTATGTCAAGATGAACATAGGGAAAATAATTTGCTTGTAAATCTCAAATTTTCTGTCTTTTTATGTTATCTTATTGATTTCAGTAATTTTTGATAGTGTTTAGGTCCTTTTTTGTAACACAAAAGATTGTCTTTATGTGTTCTTCCTTACCCCCCCCCAAAAAAAAGTTATCAAAAGGTCATATATTTAGAAATTTTGTTGTTGTTTTTTCTTTTGATGTTAATGACAGTTTTTAATCTTATTATGACTTTGGTGGTCTAAATGGACGGAGAAAAAAAAAATTGACCAGAACTGCTGCTTTTATATTTAACCTGTCTTTTTGATGTTTTATCATTATACAGTTCAATAAGCATTGAGTTTTTGCTAAGATCTAGGCAATATGCTAGTTACTAGACGTATAGATATAATGATATACTTGTATATTCAAGTTAAAGTATAATGATATATAACTTGTATATTCTTGTATATTCAAGAATTAATTCAGGACCAGACACAGTGGCATTCAGTAAATACTTGTTGACAGAATGAGTGAATATGTGAACAAGACATTGATAGACCATGTATGATTACATTGACATGTTAACCTGAAGTTATAGGTACAGTAAAGTAGAATTTAGSCGGAAAGCATAGGATTGGGTGTTTGTAGTTGACTGCATTTTAAAATAGCTAAAAGAGATCCTTTTGGATTCTCATCATTTGGAACATTCTTTACAATATGAATATGATTTTGCTTTTTTTTAATGAAATAAGATGGTTATCATAGTTGAGGTTCTGCAAAAATGTGAATTATTAAAGTACTTATTTTTAATTTCATTTCCCCAAACTGTACAGGGTTTCCTTTAGGTCAGTAGTTCTGAACTTCTTTTGTGCCTAAACCTTCAAAAAATGTGAACACCATGAATTCTCTATTACAAAATGTCTTATTAAGACAAAATTATGTATATGCTTTGATGGACTGTTTGAATTTATTCATGAACCTTCTATTCCAGATTGAGTATCACTGATATTAGAAGGTGTAGGATGAGGGTGGGAAAGATTTCCTAATAAAGAAAGATTAGCACATTAAATGAGATACAAAACAATTTTGCTTTATTTGTTTCTAAAGGAGGAATGTGGAATATTGTACCTTGCCTCTTTTAAAATGAAAATGGACTGAGCCAATGGTGTATATTTGTAATCTCAGTGACTGGGAGGCTGAGACAGGAGGCTCACAAATTCAAGACTAGCCTCTGCAGTTTAGTGAGGCCCTAAGCAACTTAACAAGACCCTGTCTCAAAATAAAAAGGACTGGGGATGTACCTCAGTGTTAAAGGGCCTCTGGGTTCCATCCCCAATACTAAAAAAACAAAACAAAACAAAAAAACAAAACCAAAACAAAACAACAACAACAACAACAAAAATAACCCCCCCAACCCAAACAAACAAAAACCAGAAAATGAACACAAATTAGTAACTAGTATAAAAACTAGTTAAAAAATGTTTCACTTTTGTATTAAGACCATATCCAGGTTGAAATGGATAAAAGGGGTGGCTGGAATGGAAATGTGTAGACTTGTGTTGGAGAAATGACATAGAGTAGCTATAACCCTACATCCTATAATGTACAACCAAAGGGGCTCAAGAGGAATACTAATTAAAGAATAGGTGTAAAGAAAATTTGGAAAGTAATATCCCGGAACCCACCTGTGTTATCAAAAAGGCAGTCATTGAACCTTGGCCTGAGAGAGACTGAGACGACTGTTCTGCCCTGATAGCATATATTGGTAGATTTCTTACAATTGCATGAACTGTGACACTTGGTGGGGTTGTGGCTCAGGTGGGGGTTGTGGCTCAGTGGTAGAGAGCTCCCCTATCATGCACAGGGAACTGGGTTCAATCCTCAGCACCATATAAATGTAGAATAAAGATATGTATCCACCTAAAACTTTAAATTAAATATTAAAAAAACACAGTGACACTTAACTGAGCTTAAATCCCTACTAAAATGATAGTATGGAATAGTGATCAAGAACCTAGAATCTAGAGCTGAACTGCCAAAATCCATGTGAGTAAGTTACTTAGCTTTTTTTCCTGAGCCTCACATTCCTCCTCTTTATAATAGGACAACTACCTATATCATGGCATTCTTGTGTGGGTAAGGCAAAGTAATGTTTGTAAAGCATTTGGAACAGTGCCTGGGAAACAAATCTATGTAAGTTTTTATTTGGGAAACACTTGTTTCCTAGAAATTCCCTTTTTCAGTGAAGAGAATTCCTGACTTTTGCATTCTGAAGTTGGGCCCTAGTTTTATCACTTGTAAAATTGGGCTTGCATGTGTGTATTTGGTTGTGGACTACAGAAACTAACTTTTTAAAAAAAAATATATATTTTTTTTACATGTTGATAGATCTTTTTATTTCATTCATTTATTTATATGTGGTGCTGAGAATAGAACCCAATGCCTCCTCGCACATGCTAGGCAAGTGCTCTACCACTGAGCTACTACCCCAGCCCCTACAGAAACTAACTTAAGCTAGTTCAAACAGAAAAGGGGACCTTGGAGTAAAGGACACGAGTGTTAAAAGCTATTCAAGTGGAGCTTCGGAAAATGGCTAGAGCCCAGAGCCAGGAAAAAAAAAAAAAAAAGAAATCTTGTTCTTTTTTTTCTCTTTTGTGGGTCTTTTTCATGCTACATTCTTGCCACAGACTGACTTCTGCTTCTCTCTTCTTTATGGTGTGGAAGTTGCCCTTTTTAACTGCATAATTGAAGAGTGAATCTTTTATACTTGGAATCTTCCAAACACCAGAGGAAGGTAGCCATGTTTTGAGCAGGTTTCCACTGAGATACAATTGGCTGAAGACCTGGCTGGGTGGGAGAGTGGTTCACCTTGTATTAAATGTCCGTGGAAGGCCCTGTCCTAGGTAAGGGAGATGTTAAGGAGATCTTTTAGGGTGAGAAAAGATTGAAAATTGTGTTGACTATAGGAGATGCACTTACCTTTTCCCCTGAAGTGATAGCATCACAAAATCCTTGTCCTCTGAAATAAGGTTTGAAACTCCCTGGATTTTATAGACTCTTGCACTTCTAGCTTTGAAATTATCTGATTATATAGTAAGGGCTGAATTATCTGAATCCAGAACTGTCTAGTTTATTAAAAAATGTTTTTTTCTTGAATGATAGTAACATGCTCCTTGTTGAAAACTTGACCCTAATAGAAAATCATAAACACTGGAAAATATCCCTCCTAATTCCACTACTAAGAGGAAACTTCTGTTAATATTTGGCATTTATGTTTATGCTTTTTTCTCTTTATAAACTTTTACATTAATTAAGGATCAATGTGATTGTTATGAACAAAAATCTCATTTAAAAGTAAAGGGAGATTGATTGAGAAGCTTCTAGGCAGTCTCAAAACCCAAGTGCAGGAAGCAAGGATGAACCTCATGGAATTTTTATTTATTTATTTATTTTGCTTCTTTTATTTATTTATTTATTTATTAGTTGTAGTTGGACACAATACCTTTATTTTACTTATTTATTTTTATGTGGTATTGAGGATTGAACCCAGGGCCTCACATATGCTAGGCAAGGGCTCTACTGCTGAGCCACAACCCCAGCCCACCCTCATGGGATTTTGAAAGCCCAGGCTTTTGCCTTTGTYTCTGAGTCTTTTGTTTCTGCTCCTCTTTGGATGTCTGCTCCATATGCCATCCTGATGCCCCTTTTCTCTGTAAACAGAGCCTCAATTGCTACTCCTTCACTTATGCCTTACTTTAGGTACCTGGTATTAATTTTAGCCAAAATCTACACTTTTCTTTTGGAACCAGTATGAAGCATAATGCAAATACTAGAATATCCAGTTGACTCAGCAAAGGTCAGTACCCTCTTTGGTTCAGTCAGCTGTGGTCAGGAGATAAGAGTGTTAGTAGTAATAGAGGCCACCTAGGCTTACCTCTGCAATAGAAGGGGACACTTCTATTGGGCAGCAGTCCCACAAACATGAACCTGATAAACATTTTCTTTTTTTTTTTTTAATACTTATTTTTTAGTTTTCGGAGGACACAACATCTTTGTTTGTATGTGGTGCTGAGGATCGAACCCGGGCCACAYGCATGCCAGGCGAGCGCGCTGCCGCTTGAGCCACATCCCCAGCCCCTGATAAACATTTTCATAAACAATTTGCTGGATCATTAGAGACTCTTCATAGAATTTTAATATTTAGTTATTAATATTATTTACACAATGTAGGGGGTTGTTTGCTTCCTTCGTATACATGTTGGAGATGTTCTCCATTTTTCAGGTTCTTTATGTTTTAGGAATATATGGCACTTCACAGAAGGTTGATGTTTCCATAATTTGGGGTTGCTGCCAGATGCACTCTGGTCCCCAGATTTTGTAAGAATTAAAACATCACTCAGCTCTCTCTGTCTTGAAGGCTATGACTTATCAACTTCTTGGACAGAATTTCAATCTAGTGAAAAGAGCCCAACCTTTGGGGTTTTGAACATTTTCTAGTTGTCTTGATTAATAGCCAGTTTCATC